CATCAAAAGACCGGGAAAGAAAAGGAGACACAGAAAAACAAAAGAAACAGGAAAAATGTACAAAATCGGCTGAGTCGTGAGTTGACAAAGTTACCAGTTCTCAAAATCGACAGAGTCGTCAAAATGACAGAATCGGAGTGGACAAGATCATCAAAAGATTGGGAAAAAAAAAAGAAAGAAAAAAGGAAAACAACAACAACAACAAAAAACAGCAAGATAAATTTACAACATCGGTTGAGTCGCTAGTCGACAAAATCACCAGAGTTTTCAAAATCCATTGCGACGTCAAAACCAGAATCGGAGTGGATAAGATCATCAAAAGACCGGGAAAGAAAAAGAGAAAGAGAAAAACAAAAGAAAAAGGAAAAATGTACAAAATCGGCTGTGTCGTGAGTCGACAAAGTCACGAGAGTTCTCAAAATAGACAGAGTCGTCAAATCAACAGAATCGAAGTGGACAAGACAATCTAAAGACCGGGGGAAAAAAAAACAGAGAAGCAAACAAACAAAGGAAACAGCAGGATAAATTTACAAAATCGGTAGAGTCGCCTGTCGACAAAATCACCAGAGTTTTCAAAATCCATTCCGTCGTCAAAATGGACAGAATCGCCGTGGACAAGATCATCAAAAGACCAGGCAAGAAAAAGAGAAACAGAAAAACAAAAGAAACAGCAGGATAAATTTACAAAATCGGTAGAGTCACTAGTAGACAAAAACACCAAAGTTTTCAAATCCATTGCCCACGATCGACATTTCTAAAACATTGGTGGTAGGCCACAAATTCTCAAGTCGTCACGTTATAGTTCGATGTTGAGAGTCAGTGGAAACCGCTCGTCAGAGAGATTCTCTTTTCAAGCTCAATGCTGAATTTTTTTTGCAGAAAATCGTTGCCCCATCCAACAGGTATCTACGTAAATTCACTGAGAAATCTTCGTAACATAGTTTGATTTGTAAAAATTCCCGATAGCTACTCACCATGAATCCCTTAGTGATAGGAACACGAATGTTAAAAACTAAAATACGAGCTTTCAATTTGGTGGTACATTTGATCGGCGAGCGGGGTGGACACAAAACAGTTCCCAATCTAAAAAAATAAATAAATAAAAAAAATAATTAAAAAAAACAAGAAACATGTAATGACTAGGACCTTGAGTTCCGTATTAATAACCAGAGAAGGCAATGATCTTGCGTGGTCGAAAATGACTGATGTACAACGCTCTGCGAGAACGTTATCCAGCAAGCAGCAGAAATAATGATATTTTGGGTCATTTTCTGCGACGCGCAAGATAACCTTCAGATGGAACCAACAGCAATGTAGGTGAATGGCTAATGATAGACGAAATGGATAAGGATTGAAAACCGCCAAATAAAAAAACTCAGCAAACATTTTTCAAGATGTAAAAACCATTACAGAATTCGTTTAATGTAAGAAATTGTAGGAAGGCGGGCATCAGATTTTCTGCTATCGTTATCCAACCAAGTGTTTCACTTTGAGTTTGTTAGTGTTTCACTTTGAGTTACAGTCTTCTAGTTTCAACAGTTCAACTGGTGCCTACATGAACTGGGTTCCACAGCCCACCCATACTTACCCGACATGCATCATGTCTAAGCCTGACAGAATCAGTGTCGACTGATCGCCGGCGCACGCCAACTGCACAGGCTCTTCATGTATGCTTAGACCTGAGTGGGAAAGGTAAACAAAGATATAGGGTCATAAAGCTTTCCTCTGAAAAATGAACGTCTCCTAATAGTTAAATAGTAGTTTAGTAACTGCTTGAGATGCTACAAGTGAGCGATATCTGATATAATTTAAGCATTCAAAGAAGTAATCAAGTGAAATTGTTCAGATTTACTAACACTTCTTTTCTGGGAGAGGATCATCTAGTGAATTACCTCATCTCTCTCAAAATTTCCGTCGTTTTTGTTCACATTAGATATCAATCCTCTTTACTGTCGGTCGTACATTTCTTACAATCTCAGCTTTAAGAAATGGGCTTTAAATTACGATATACGATATTCCCTTTGTGATATTTTTCTTCGTTTTTATCGCCTTTCTGCTTTGAAAATGTAACGATACCTTCAGGAAAAATATTTCGTTAATCACTCCAAGGAGTGGAAGGGTAAATTAAATTTTCACTGATAAAACAACACCAAGCTAAACAAAAATACAGAGAAGATTCCCGAACAAACGGTACAAATTTTGGAGCGAGTATTAATTTCAAGACTGTACCATTTATTAATCACTGGCGTTAATTGCTAGCAGTATTTTAGACAAGGTCTTTTACCTTTCAATCATTAACTAATTAAGCCTCCTAGACTGTTTTGGTTTGTTTGTTTTTCATTTGGTTTTAAGTTTTCCTGTACAAAACATTTGTAAATGATCTTCAACTAAATGATTCTAAAAACAAGACAAGCCAACAACATACTTGCATTAATAATCAACTATTCAGTAATTTGAAGGTATTGGTGTATTTTAGCGCATATTTACAAAAACAATGCCCAATAACCACGCCGCTGCTTCATTAGTTGAATGTAATTATCAAATCAAAGAAACGAATTTCGGCTTTATTTGTTTAAAAATCCGACCACAGCATACACGATAGTTCTTAGTTCGTTACTTCTCATTCCCCATCTGATTTCACCATAGCAACATCTCAGAACAAAACAACTTGATCTAAAGAAAACGAAGTTTGTTACAAGGTGTAAGGCAAACGAAGTACTACAGGTATGAAAATGTGACATACACAAAGTCTTAAAATAGGATTCAATTACATGAGTCTATTGCAAGGTTTTCCCAGTTTCGTTACGATTTTAAACTGATATAACACCGGTTCTTAAAGAGCATCTAAGCAGAATTCGTGATACTCGGTTCATTTTAAATTTCATGGCCAGATGCAGGTGCAAGAGGCGAGGAAAAGTGTGAGACGACTGAAACGCTCTGGGAAAATAAGCAAAAAAAAAAAAAAAGCTTGAAAATCACTTCAACTGGAACCCGTGAAACCACAATTTAAATGAGCTAGTTCGCAATATTTGGGTATGCTTTAAATAATTGCTTTGTAAAATCTCCACCAATTAGAGAAAGCATAAAGATATTCACGGCTTAAAGGAAAAAAACCCAAATAAAATACAGTGGAACCCTGCTAAAACTTGAACTCCCAAGGGAAACGAAAAAACAGTCCAATATACGGGAGGTTCAAGTCGTCGGGATTGGTGTTGAATTTTAATTGTCCTGTTATTAATTAGTAAGGAATTATGCACAATCAACAGTTATTTTGGTTCAAATTAGTCAGAGTTAACTAATCAAAACGGAGCAAAACGAATTGAAAACGGAAAATTGATCAGACTAATCAAAAGTGAATTATGCAATATAGCGGAGGTCAATAACATAGAGAGTGAAGGGGTTGCGATCACTGTCGTTTTCCACGGTAGAAAAAGTAAGTCAAGAAAAATGTTCCGTAAAAATTGGAAACATAAGGAGAATAACGTGACAGAATGAGGAATTTTGGCTTGCAGAAGTATAAATTGTACTGAAAAACACGCTTGATTTAAAAGTGAGGCGTTGAATCGCGATTATACCTCAGGCTAAGTATTTTTTGACAAGGCAGTATGGTCACAGCAATTAACGACAATTCTGTAATTTCAGGTCATTCAGCAAGTAACTCTCGTGATCTTGATAACAGTAACTGGGGCTCTTAATTACAGCCATGCCAACGATTCATCAAGCGATAATTCGCCGTAATCAACAACAAGTACGTCTCCTAGCAAATGTGGGATGCAACGTCAATAAACTTGATTCACGCATGCGTACGCCACTACACCTTGTCTGCGATCTTGACAATGAATTCTTAAGGGTGTCGTTGGGGCGTATCTTGCTACGACATGGGGCCGGAGTGGAGCATAAAGACGAATCCGGCATCTCAGTTTTTAGTTACTGCTGTACAAAACAGTGCATTAAGTTAGTTTCAGTCAT